TCTCCACTCTCTGATGCTGTACGCAATCCATGGAAGAATCATGTAGCCGATGCCGTAGAAGAGGAACGCTCCGAGCGTTGTGAACATCACACGAAGTTTCTTGCTCAAAACCTCCGTTCCTGTCAGGTGTAGAGAAAAAAAAATAGATGCTTATTCAAAAAGACACGAGGCGAGAGAGATGAGATCATACCTAATACGAAGGCGGAGATGTAGATGGAAATCTGGGAAGCTCCGACAAACAGGAACATGATGCAGAACATCCTCCATGACTGGGAGAAGGACTGCAACAGGACTGAGATGGCTTGAGCTCCGAAAGAGATGAAAACTGTCTTCTTTCTTCCAAACCTAAAGAGGAAATAATGATGCAAACTTCACGGTTTGGTGCCTTGATGTCATGGCTTAACAAAAAATGGACTCCCAACTACTGATTTGTCATGCAAAGTGAATATTAAACCACGTTCCATTCCATAAGTCACGTCCTTCGATCAAAGTCCCGGAAGATTTACCGGAAAGTCTTTACATCACAGCTTTTGTTCTCGCTACTTCTTTTTTTTTTTTTTTTTTGCTAGAGCATAACCACTAGAATGTCACAACTCAATACCCTGGTTTTCAATTTACATTAAACCTTCAAGCCACCTTAACACATTTCTCCTGTTTGTCAAGAGGAGACTTGAGGATCAAATGAATGATGGTTTGGCTTGGTTGTTACTTCAATTCACGCCGGTTCTGAGACAGCAAGGCTACGTGCCGTTTGCGCTCTCGTGTCACACTCTCTGACCCCGCAGCTGGCCACAACCCTCGCTCGTTGCTTTTGCCTCACATGTCGGGGAAAGCGGGTGGGGGTGCGAGGGTACGCTATAGGAGTTTATCCAGCTGGAAAAGGACAGCGTTGAGAAGAGAAAGGGGAGTTCTCCAACAAATCCCCAAGGAAAAGTACTCAGTCGCCGTTCGCTCAAACCTCAGTCATTGTCAGTGAAATTTCCCAAGACAAATGTTCTCACAAACAAACTCCGACATGCAATGGCTCTCTTTTGTGGAACGAGCGTAACGGATCCAGGCATGCACCATTCGCACAATAACTTTATTTCTATCCCTGCAGCAATTAAAAAAAAAAAAAAAAACTGGGATGAGGTACCTGTCAGAAAGCTGGCCTGAGATCAGCGAGCCCACGAGATATCCTACGAACAGAGTCGAGGATGCAAAAGGAACTTTCCACTGGTCGTCACACACCAAGTCCCACTGCAAAGACACATGCAATCAATTCTTCCCGCACATTTGAACATGTTTGTCATGTGAACGGCATTCTGACCTCGGTGACAATGTTGTCAGGGTAAATGTCTCTGCTGTAGCTCCAGCCATCCAGGCAGGCCTCCTGCTCCAAGCCTGTGAGGTTGACGTCCGTCCCGGGAGCGTATCCCTCCGCCGAGAGGTTCCGGACCACGTCCAGCTTGTAGCGCCGACACTGGCTACGTACCTCGCGTCCGTCCGCCTCGGTGACGGGAATGATGGCGTCCCGCCACGCCGCCGTGAGGTTGACCTCTGGCACGAGGCAGCGGTGCTCAGGGGCTGCCCCGACGAAAACGATGTAGAACCCGTTGAAACCGGTGGAGACGAAAATGGTGTTGAGAAGGATGAAAGTAATCCAGAAGTGAGGTCCGGTTTGGCCCAGGAAGGCCGTGTCTTCGTTGTAGTCGCCCATGTTGAACGGTGCGTGTGCTGTGGTGATTCTCAATCACTGAGCCGGACCCTCAGTGGTCCAGCGAATCCCCTCACACCCAGCAGAGCATTAAAACCCCCCTTTCACGATGAATCCGCTCTCATCTAGCGGGAGGAAAAACAATCAGGACTCATAGAAGGAGACAGAGGAAATAATTTACCCCGACACATCCCCTCGACCGGCTGATTTGATTTACTGGGCTATGATCAAACGCTTCAAAAAGTGGCCCGGTCCATCTGCGCTGCCTCTGTCCCACCACCATGGCCAGTCGCACAGCAGTGGGCCACTGTTTGCTCCCCAAAACATTCCACACTTTTAAATACTCTTTAGAAGTGCACGTGCTTGTACTCTAAATGGCGCTAAGTAGCT